TTCACTCTATTTCTTGTCTATGTTGATTGATTGATGTTTTTATTTACTTTTATTCTTTTAATTATGATTATGTGGTGCAGGTACTAATATACAGACTAATGAGGAAGTAGCAATTAAGTTGGTAAGTGATTTCTTTTAGTAATTAAGTGTAGTTCTACTGAATATTTGTTGCAAATGAATTTACAGTTTATTGGAAGTTGTTTTTTATTTCTGTTATGTGTTTTTCTGTAAGTATCAGTAGTATGTGTTTTATGGATGGTTGACTTTGAAGTTAACAATTATGTGTCAAAGTTATTGCTTGCTGTCCCCAAAGGGATAGTTCAGTTATCAAGAACAGATAATTGAACTCCAGAGTGACGATTTGTAACTCAGTGGTCATAACATAAGTGATAATCCCCCTTTGCAGAAAGTCTTCGTGATTCATTTGGAAATAAGTTGTTTGTAGAAACTTATGTGCCAAATTAGGTAGTTGATGACTTAGTAGCGTAACATGTTGATGTAATTGCATATTTTGTGAGCTTCAATTATATCATACTGTCTTTTCGATTTGTTCAAGTACATGTGAATGAAGGCTTTTGCTTCCTAGTTCGTTGTATAGTATGAATTTTTCATTGTTTGCGAATTTGAGCATGTATGCTATTCATGATTTATCATTGGAATTATCTTAAAGCAATAAAACTTTCGGGAAATAGTAGTTTTAGTCCCTTAGTTATTTTGCATTACTCCTCTTTTGGTCCCCATATTATTTGATTGAGCACATTTGATCCTTGATTGAACCTAGTGTACAGTTTTGGTCCCTGGTTGACTGAAGCTAACAGATGTTTGCTAAGCGAGCAAACAAAGACAACATAAACTTTAAGCAACCCTGAAACCATTGTCGGGGATTGTTCTCTGCCCTTCTAGATAACAGAGGCAAAAAGCCCTTCCAGAATCTTTGCTCACCCACCAGCCATGGGAAAATGTTATCCCAACTCTAAACAGGGTTTTGGTTGAGCATATCACAGCTTCCGCTAAAATTATTTCCAGTGTTCATTTCCCCAAGAATTCCTCAAAGCTGCAGACTGTGAAGTTGTGGCTTTGGGCTAGGGCTGCGTGACAAGGCAGGGGACTTCAAGGAAGGTGAACACTGAAATGTTGTTTGGGTATTTTGTACACAAGTCATATTGCGCGAGAAGTGGTTTCATTTGCCTGGGGACTTGTCATGCTGCACTTAGCATCTAAAGAAGCTCTTTGTCTTGTGCTCTCTGGGATATTTCAGTGAAGACACCTTTACAGCATCGGTATAGCTGACTACCGAGATTCACTCTCAGGAGAGTGGCACCAAAAATCTATTTCTGACGACTAACACCGTTGGGAGAGAACAATGTACTACCTCTGCAGTCTGGCCAAAATTAGCCTCATTTCCTGCTGCCCCATAGCAAAACACACTTCTTCATAACCACCATTGATGGTGTCAGAAAACCCCCTCTTGGTTTCAGAAATAAAACCCTTCGGCACCCCAAGCGGGTATCAGTTTATGTCACTCTTTTCTTTTATTTTGTCATGAAAAGATTGGCACTTTTTTGTATTTGGAGATTATTAGATCTTAACATTCCCAATTTACTCTTATTCAGTGTTGTCAAAGGCGCGCTTAAAGCGAGCTTAAGCCCTGAAGCGAGGCTCAAAACACGTTAAGCGCTTCGCGTCGCTTTGTGGGCGCTTTAGTGTCGCATCAAAGCTCGAAGGCATATTTTTCCTTGCCAATGAGTGTGATCCTGAAATGGCGACCTTAAACAATTGATATTTCACTTTATCGTAAATTTTTTTTCAATTTCTTTGTCCATCTAATTGTTATTCATGCTCATAATGATTATTAGTCTTGGACCACATGCATATTTTTATTTTTTCTCCCGTTGCGCCTTTTTTCATTAAAGCCCACGCTTTATTTGCGCTTCGCACTTAAAGCCCCAACGGACCTTAGACTTTTTTGCGCTTTTCGCCTTTGATAACACTGCTCTTATTGATATGACTTGTTTGGAGAGGAATAGAAAGTGACATGTAGAATTGTTAATATTAACTGTGATGTTTGTATCTTGCATATATTTACCTTACATGTCAAAAGTCTTCCCTTTTTCTTAAACTTTGTGCATGGTCAAGCACTGTGGCATAAGTATGACAGAGAGTTTTTTCTCAACTTCAGCATTGCCTTTTTGAAAAAATAAAAAATATCAGCTGCCGGTTTTGGCTGGAGACAGCATTTACTTTAAAGAATGAAACTATCCAACTAGACTAGGATTGCCCTTTGTGGGGATTTATAATCATTCTATTTTCTTAGCTAGCATTTGGACATAGATTTGATTGAAACTTGCAAAAGGAGTTTTTGAAGTTGTTTTAGAAAATAATTTTTGGAAGTTGAAGTTGTGTTTGGACATGCGTTTTATTTGAAAAAAAAGTTGAAGCTTTGTGAGTGGAAGAAAAAATTTCACTCAAGAACTGCCCTAAACCCGTCTTTGGGAACTTAAAATTTTTGTTCCAAATATTTTTCAAAAACTGATCATATTCCATGAATAAACAATGTTTTCAAAAAATGTTTGGAAAAAAAAAAAGAAATTGCCAAAATTTATGGCCAAGCTCCTGTTTTCTGTAAATTTACATAAGATGAACAAGTAAACTATGACTTGATTTCTCTATAAACATTCTAATTTCGCATGTTTTTAGTTTGAGCGGTCAATCCTCAAAGCTAACACGGAATGTGGTGATCTGGAGGTGATTAGGTTTAAAAAGCTTATGTAGTTTTGCCTTCTTGTTCAATTGCTCAGACAGACAGGGAATGCTCTAACAGAATAGTCTTCTTTGCTTGAGTTCAAGTAGGTAATTGAGAAATCTGTGATTCATTATTTAGGTCCACAAGTGGATGAACTCATTTCTCCCCCTTCCTCTAACCAATCCCCCTACCCCAAAGAAAGTTGGTGCATATAGGCCAATTTCTGGTCTACTTTTTTCCTTTTTGGCAAATGGTGCTCTCACAAAGTGAAATGGAACTATTGGTGCCCACAGCCGCCTGCATGCATACTACATAACATCATTGTTCATAGCTTTGAAACATAAACTATCAGTTGATTCTTGAACTGGGGAAAAAGTTGGATAGAACCCCATATATAGCATATGCTTGTGTCGCAAGTACTTTTAAGATGTTACATATCTGCAAGTCTTTTTTATTTATCTCTGTGTCTGTGTGTCTTCATTTCTTTCTTCTTTTTTGGCTCCAACTATGTGAATGACTTGTGCATTAATTCCTCCATTGTAATTTAGTGTCTGATAAGTGCTGGTGATTTTGCAGGAAAATGTCAAAACAAAGCATCCTCAGTTGCTATATGAGTCAAAGTTGTACAGGATTTTGCAGGGAGGAAGTAATAACTTCTATTGTCTTTTTTGAAAAAACAAACCTTTTCTCTCTTTACTCTCTTTTTGACTACATTTCTATGATTAGGGGTTCTAATTGTGATACTTCTGTTGTAGCTGGAATTCCAAATGTGAGGTGGTTTGGTGTGGAGGGAGATTACAATGTTCTAGTCATGGATTTGCTCGGACCCAGTCTTGAAGATTTATTTAACTTTTGCAGCAGGAAACTTTCCCTGAAGACAGTTCTGATGCTTGCAGATCAAATGGTTAACACTTATAACATTTCTTATTTTGACGTTAGTAATCCTACCTGAACTTGGTGATGACATGGCTATTTTGATTTTTACTGCAGATAAATCGCATTGAGTTTGTTCATTCTAAATCATTTTTGCATCGCGATATTAAACCGGACAATTTTCTTATGGGCTTGGGAAGGCGTGCAAATCAGGTCCTTTATTTTGATTACTATTTTCTAACTCTTTGTTCTCACAAATTCCCAGGATTGTGTTACTGTACTTAAATTTGACTTAAAATGCAGGTCTATGTAATCGACTTTGGTCTGGCCAAGAAATACAGAGACACTTCAACTCACCAACACATACCTTACNCAAGCTGAAGAGAAAGGCTGAGCATTCCGTTTATACAACTAAGGTTCCATACCTTTGGATATTATGTAATATGAAGCATGTTTTGTTTGTTAATTACTGACAGATTTTTATCCAAAAAAATAAATAGAGAAGACAGAAACAGATATAATTCCTTTTTGCTCTAGTTAGGAAAATGTAAAACTCCAGCTGGGGTTTTATGTATCTTAAAGAAAAAAGACTCCAGCTGGGGTTATATGATAATGAGAGATTATTGCAGGCACATAGATGATGCTAAGACAATTCAAAGTGCATTTCTGTAGGATCTGTTATGTAACAAATGCATTTGTCTTGGTGCTGCTGAAAATTCTTATGATGGGGATATGCGCATATTCCAATTAAAAAAACTGTTAAATGCAGCACAGTTGAGAGTGTCCCTGAATTCTTCTGTGTGCATGCACATGCATTCAGTTATCTGGCATTTGCATATCGTATTTTGCCTGTGCCTTATAAGACATGGTGTTTGACACTGCAGAGAGAACAAAAACTTGACTGGCACCGCAAGATATGCTAGCATGAATACTCACCTTGGTATTGGTAAGTGTTCCTGTTATTTATGTTTGTGTTCACTCTTTGTGCAGTTTAACTCTGCTGTGTTTCTCACTTAATACGCTATTACCGTTGTTCTACCCTGGTATTGGTAAGTGTTCCTGTTATTTATGTTTGTGTGTTCACTCTTTGTGCAGTTTAACTCTGCTGTGTTTCTCACTTAATACGCTATTACCGTTGTTACAGAACAAAGCAGGAGGGATGATTTGGAATCTCTTGGATATGTCCTCATGTACTTCCTAAGAGGAAGGTTAAATTTTGCTGCAATTTCTTTCCTCACTCTTGTTTTATTCAGCTTGTTTGACATCTTTTTATTGCAGCCTTCCTTGGCAGGGGTTGAAAGCAGGAACTAAGAAGCAGAAGTATGAGAAAATTAGTGAAAAGAAGGTGTCAACATCTATTGAGGTAATTTATTTTCTGATTTGGAGATTGGGTTCTACTTGGACATCTCTATGGAGAATTGGTTTACAATTTTGCAGGCTTTATGCCGGGGTTATCCTACTGAATTTGCATCATATTTCCATTACTGTCGTTCACTACGCTTTGAGGATAAACCAGATTATGCTTATCTGAAGAGAATATTTCGTGACCTCTTCATCCGCGAAGGTCTAAGATGAATTTTGAGCTGCTTTTATTTTTAACCGGTAATTTTCAATCTAGGCTCCCGTTTACACGTTTATTTGCATTGCAGGCTTTCAGTTTGACTATGTTTTTGATTGGACCATTTTGAAGTATCAGCAATCGCAAATTGCAGCTCCTCCTTCCCGACCTCTTGTAAGTGGTGGAATATCGTTTTTTCTACCTGTGTGCAGAGCTTATATCTTATGATGGCTGTTTTTTATTAGGGTGCTGGTGTTGGAACCAGCTCAGGCATGCCTCCAGCTATCCCTAATGCAGAAAGGCAGTCAGGTGATATTCCAGTGTACCTGTCCTAATTCTTGTGTTCTCAATTGAGAAAATTGGCATTTCCTCACCTACACATGAGTACTGGTCAAGACCTCTGTGCTCTCTTTCATTTGGGATTTTCCTCACCCCTATTCTCAATCATTTGCAGGTGAGGAAGAAGGAAGACAACCAGCAGATCCTTCTCGAAGGAGGAATTCTGGGCCGCCTATAAATGCAGGAAGTTTGTCCAAGCAGAAAAGTCCTCTCAGAAATGATTCTTCTAGCAAGGATGCTATGGTAAGTTTGAGTTGTTGGATCAAATATGAACTTTGATCTATGGTAAGTTTGAGTTGTTGGATCAAATATGAACTTTGATAAGATTTTAAATTTTGGAACTCTCAAAGGGCCATTTCTGGGAAAGAGATCAGTCCATAATCAAGAGTTGTGAAACCTTGCAGTGTAATTGTCTTGTTGAACTGCTCTGCCAGTTCAAATATAACTCTTGCTTCAGAATTCAGATGCAACCTTGGACAAAGAATACTATTTCTGTATTTTCTTAATCCCAGGAAAATAATAATAATAATAATAATAGAGATGTGTGTTTCTTAGGTTTCTACATTGTTGAAATGGAAAAGTGGTCTATGCCATAAGTGATCTTTTCCCCCACATTGTAATGAATCATTCCAATTTTGCAGTTGTCAAGCTCCACTTTCCTTGGAAGATCAAGTGGATCATTGAGGCGAGGTCTAGTCTCTGGCAGCCGAGAGACTTTCACTATGGGAAATGACTCTGATCCTACACGTTCTCGAACGCCTGAGGCAAGTCCAGCAACCATGCACAAAATATCAAGTGGACAGAGAAGCTCCCCACTTGTTGGATCATCAGACGCTAAACATGCTTCTTCTGACAGGAATACTTCTGGTATAAAGAACTATGAAACCACGCTCAAAGGAATTGAGAGTTTACATTTCGATGAGGAAGATAGGGGTCACTAATGATTGGAAACCCTTTCATCACATTCTTGTAAATTTCTTACTCGTGTGCTAGACCTCAGGTAGAATTGAGGCCTTAAAAGTTGATTTTTCTTGAATTTCGGGTTGGAATTTAGGGATCTAGAGTGTGATTCGTTCAAGCAAAGATCTATAAGAAATAAATAGATCTGAATGAGTGCTAATGCAGGGAGTCAGGTGGTTTCAATACAAGCTCATTGCCGTGCATGACTCTTTATATTGTTTTTGTCTGTGCAATCAGGCATCTTCCATAATATTTAATCCTCGTCCAGATGATGGGGACTAGTGAAACTGTATATTGGTCGTTGCAATACTAAGATGGTCCACAGTAATGTTTTGGTCGAATGTCACTTGAGTGCAAACTCAGTAGTTCTCACAAATTTTGGGTCGTATTAATGCTTTAGTTTACAAGCATGTGCAGAATCTTATTTTCCTTCAATTTTATCTTGTAACAAGTCAAAGCTTACGCCCATCTCTGCGTTTTCGTCCGCACTCGACATTCACATGGCCAGAGTTGGTAAAACAGGGGAAGTACCCCTCTTATCAGATTGCCCTTTTGGATGTTAGTTTTCTCAGCTTGTGCTAGATAAATTGAGAAAGGTGGTCTCGTTTCCTAAGTGTCATTAACAAATCAACTGAACTAAATGAACCTAAATGTGCAAAATTTGTCTGCACTGGAAAGTAAGCATAGAATGAAGACTGCGGAAATTGGTAGTTCTTAAGGAATTTCTTTCCTTTTAATAATAGTAATATTTGGATCAACTTGTGAGCGCTTGACTATCCACCCAATAATGGTATTTTTAACTAGTATAAATGTCGGATAACTCTCTGCAAGGCGTAGGCAAATAAAAAGACTTAATATTCATTGCATCTCTAATTCAATTTATATCTACACCTAGTATTAGGGGTGACAAACGAGTGGGTCGGGTTGGATCGGATCGGATATGGGCGGTCAAAAACAGGTAATGCAAAACGGATAAATTATCCGACTCGAGATATTTAATACGGATAGAAAATAAGTTAATCGACGATAATATGAATATCCATATTATTCATGGCTTCTTGAATATGCTCACTTTTGGGAAAATTCCTAGTCTCCTAAACTTGAGGAACCCTCAATTTGAGCCTTTATAAATATAAAGAATTAAACCCACTAATTATCCATTGACTATTCATTTTCTAAGTGGATAATATAATTCTTATCCATATTTGATCCGTTTTTAAAAAGTTCATTGTCCGACAAATGTTTTAATAGATAATATGGATAGATAATTATTATTTTTATCCATTTTGCCACCACTACCTAGTATTCATAATTTCCAAATTTTAGACAAATGATTTCTAATTATGAATACAAAGACTTGGAATCAATTCGGGAACCGCATAAGCAAAGTACATTAAAATTGTTTATAGTAGAGAAATTGTCTCCTAATTTCAAATCTACCGTCCCGTTTAAAGCATCTCTTTGCAAGTACAACGTGAATGATATTATACTTCGACATAAGTGAATGATTTCATACTTTGACATTGTACTTCAGATACAACCCTTTGATGTCAAAAACTAGCAGCAGCTACCAATGTATAATATAGTGATATATTAAACAACGCTAGTGTAAATTACTCACAAGTTCATAATCTCAGACACTAGGACCATTAAATTAGACATTCATTACACAAGAAAATATGAAAATGAAAGGAGAGGGCCGGGGGAAGAAAAGAGGTAGATGTGTGGAGAGAGAACCCGCCCAAACAGTACCAGCTTCTATATTTTTGCCACTGAAGCAAGAAAAAAGCTTGTTACAGGAGATCAGCAACATTCGCTGGCAGCTCCTCAATAACAACGTTGTAAAACCTCTGAATATCAGACAGCATCCTCTCATCATCCTTTGTAACGAAGTTGATGGCCACACCCTTCCTACCAAACCGTCCACTACGTCCAATGCGATGAAGATAATTCTCAGGCTGCGTGGGAAGATCAAAGTTTATAACTAGGGAGACTTGTTGGACATCAATTCCTCGGGCCAAAAGATCAGTAGTGATGAGAACACGGGAGGACCCGGAACGGAATTCACGCATTATAATATCTCTAGTGTTCTGGTCCATGTCACCATGGGTAGCTGACACTGTATGGTCTCTGCTTCGCATCTTGTCTGTCAGCCAATCAACTTTGCGACGGGTATTCACAAAGATCACACTCTGTGTAATGGCTAATGTTTCATACAGGTCGCACAGGGTTTCGAGCTTCCATTCTTCCTTATCCACATTGACATAAAACTGTTTGATACCTTCTAAGGTCAGCTCATCACGCTTCACAAGAATCCTTACAGGTTTGTNAACTTTAATAAAGAATGGAAGACTTTTGAGATATGTGGTCTTAAATAAGCTATAACATTTGTGTGGCAGTAAAACTTTTGAAACTTTTGGTCTGAAACCTACCATAGTATTTGTGTGGCTATAAATGCTTCTTATTAAGGAAATATTGAAAGGTGCCAATTTTTTGAAGCAGACTAATAAGGAAATAGTGCCAATCTTTTTGAAAGAGAGGGAGTAGTAATATTGAAAGACCTTCAAGACACCATAGGAAAAGGGAATGATAAAAAAGAAAATCACACCCAATTACAACTGTGCAACAACTATGTCTCGGCCCCAAACAACTTGGACAACATTGTAAAGCTAAATTGAAATTATCACATCACATAGTTAGGCGAATGAAGTCATGGATTTAGTTCAACATACTTGATATGAAAGAAAGGATAATAATACAGAGAAACAGAGATTTTGTTTGTGCCCCTTTCCACTAAAATTTTGAGCTTGTTGAGTACTCTAACAGCCCTGCGCACTACAAGCATCTTTTCCCATTATAACTGAGCCTCCCTCCCTCCCCTAGCACCAAACAATTGGACCATTTCTCGCAAGTCACAATTTTCATGTACGATGGAAAACTAACAAAGAAAATATTCATTGCACCAGATTATAATAACAAAAATCTCAGAAAAGCTTACTGGTTGGAGAACCTTTTACACTACAGATATATGTCAAGAGGGTACGGATGTACAAAGAAACATGCGCACATATATGGGGGAGATAAAAAGCATATTGGTCAGAGAGGCAGTTTTCAATCTAAAATAGTTGACCTGATCCTTGAAACCTCTGGAAAGCATTTCATCGGCCTCGTCCAATACGAACATCTTTATATGATCAGGGCGAAGTGACTGTCTTCTCAGCATGTCAAATACACGTCCAGGCGTTCCCACAACAACATGAACACCACTTGAAAGGATGCGTTGGTCCTCTCGTACGCTGGTCCCTCCCACACATGCATGTACCTTCACACCAAGGTAGTCACCAAGTGCCCTCATGACCTTTTCAATTTGTTGTGCAAGCTCACGAGTAGGCGCCAAGACTAAAGCTTGACATTCCAACAGTTCATAGGCAAGTTGCTGCAGAATTCCAGAACAAAAAGTAGCAGTTTTCCCAGTTCCAGATTGCGCCTGTTGAATTACATCAAGACCTTTGCAAAAGGGTACAATTCCTCTTTGCTGGATTGCTGAAGGTTTCTCAAAACCTACATGGAAATAGTCCAACATTAAATACATTGTAACCTGATTAATGGATAGAACAATGCTCAGAACAAAGAGAATATCCCACTATAACAATATCAATAGATTTAGCAGGAAACAGAAAGAGCGGGAGAGCTCGTATGTGCAGCAATTCCTTTGTTTCTTTCTTCATCCTTTTTTTTTTCCTTTTTTTGATTGGTAAGCAAAAGGACAACATTCACATTGATCCAGAACTACAAACTGAAATGTCGCAAAACAACAGGGGACAGAAGTACTCAGTTGTACCTAGAAGATTAACAGTCCACCACCCCTTCTTCTTTATAATGCATGCATTAGTCAAGCAGAAGAAAAGTGGAAACATGTTTCAACCAACCGTATGCATAAATGCCCCTCAGAAGGTTCTCCTGCAAACCCATGGCATCAAAACTATCATAAACCTCATCATATGAAGTAAAGAAATCTTGCCCATCAGCTGAAAGCCTACAATGAAAATCCAAGAAAAGTCAGTTTTTTGGATCCATGCTATAAAGCATAGCGTGGCATATATAAGTAAATGCATGCATCATAACTCATACGAGGTAATAAATAGAGAAAAAAAACAAAAAAATATGAGGAAGAAGCAAGAGCAGTCTTCTATAGATGCATAATTAGAGAGCAACGAAATAATTGGCTCCTGCTACTTACAACTCATTCATTTTTGTGTCAAATTGACGAGCATCAAACTGTGATCCTTCTGGAGCTGCACCCGCCATGACTGGAAAGCATTAACAGCACATCAGCAACAAAGAATCATGGGTAAAATAAAACATTATCAAATAATTGATATCACCATAACTCAAGACAAGTTGACTGAATTTATTACAAATGAGCAGGTACTCATTGGTTCATTTCACTATGCTTTGACTTAGAGAATGTTAAAACACCTATTTCGCCCCTCAGTTGCAATGAATTTGAGAAGGAAAAAATGAACTACATAATATCATATGTGAAGATAAAGTTTAGATCTTCATCTTTTCTACGGTGATTCTCAAACAAATCGTTACTTGGTTAGTTCTTAATTTGCAAATTCCTACTCTTTATCTGGTTGTTTCAACCCATAATTTCTCTTGCTGGAAATGTGCTCAATCATCAAAAGCAAAAACTGAAGACATGCAACAATGATTTGATAAAAAGATTTACTTCTTATGGGAATTAACTTAAATGTTTTTGTTTAAATTTCGTTCTCACACCACCACCTAAACTACCAGCTAAAGCCAAAAAGAATAGGCAGACAAATGCAATGAGAGACTGTGAAAGAATTCACTGTTCAAGAATGACGAATTCAATCTGCTTTATCAAAAAGTTTAAAGCTTGGGTCCTAAGTCCTAACAGTAGGTAAAGAAAACTAGGCTAAAATCCATAAGTAACAGTTGTTCACTACCTTCTACAAACTAGGCCCTCATTCACTCGAAAGTACCAATTCTGCAGCATTCAATATCACAAGTTATGCTCTTGTACCTAATAGTTCAGTTAAATAAATGCCACAAAATCTCAACTTTGTTTCATATACTAACGGAAACGTACCTGAAGATGAAAGTAAGATGGAGATATGACAAAAGAGAAAGTGATGAAAATTAGGGTTTTACGCAAGCTCCTCGGATCTTGAACGTATTGGGAGTTTTTGTGAGTGAGACTGCGATGTTAGAGGAAAGAAGTGCGTGAGTGTGAGGGTTCCTGAAAAGTGCTGCCTTCTTTTTTGCTTTCACCATTTTGCCCTTCGCAAGAATTTGTACTGCTACTGCTACTGCTACACGTTGCCGGGTTTTTTTAGGGCTTCCTTAGAGAAACATTGTTTTTTTTATTCAAGAAATAGCTAGCGGTAACATAATTGACGTGCACAAAGTGACATATCACGCGGTTAAGACGAGTGAATATAATGATTTTGTTTAAAAATATTAACAATATTAAATCAGAAAAACATAAATGATTACATACCGAGGCAGATCCAGAATTTGAAGGTTCCGGGTACCATATTACTTTGAACTTTGACTTGATCTCTTTTGAGTTTCGGTTCGGATTATTGTGTTGTGGGTTTATATAGATAAAATGATGAAATAAAACAATTTAATAATTATGCAAAACAGAAAACTTCAATAATATAACTAATATCAACAAAAAAATAGTATTTATAATTGTCTTAATTTTCATATTCTGGAGTTATGATTTGACAAAAAGATGCACAAATAAGACTAAAACTCTTTATAGATGCATATTTAGATACTCCAAGCAAAAGCTTACTTAATAAACACAATTTTTTTTTTGGGTAGAACACATAAACTTTGAAAATAGAAGCAAGAATATATAAAATTAAGAAAGTCAACAGGAACTCATAAGGAAAAAAGAGTCAGCAATAATTGAAGAAAAGGAAAGAAAAGGAAAGAAAAGAAGAAGCAACGAAAAGAAAGAAAATAAGCACTCAAAAAAAAAGGAAGAACGACAAATCTCCTGCAAGCTTCAAGCAAATCAGAATTAGATATGAAAAATGAAGTAGCCGAGGATCGATCCCACGCCTTAAGGGCGAAACTTTAAGCTATGCGCCAGTGGCACCAAGCAGTCATTTGTTTTGACGGGTGCCACTTTGTTTATTTATTCTATTTTCTATATATACATACATATACATACAACGTTTCGACCGAGGTGTGCGGGTGGCGTGCCACCCCCTTCCTCCTTAGTAGATCCGCCCCTGATTACATAACTTGAAACGACCATGTTACAACCCATATTCGTGTACGTCAAATTGCGTCGTAAGTTAGTTGATGTAAATCCGATAAAAGATTATCTTTAAGATGATAAGAAGTTAATCATATTGGTCTTATATGTTACAAGGGTGTATAAAAGTGGTTAACAAGTATTAGAAGTTAAAAATTAAACGAATCAAAGATGTTGTAACTCGTACCTTTGGGGTAAAACTAGGAGTGCTTAATATGCTAAGGAGATCATGTTTTAAGGTATCTGAATCATATAATATCCGTATCATAAGTTTTAAAGTCAAGCAAGTTGTATGAAAAAAGTCAGAAGAAGTTATCGCAAGTTACATTCATAATTCTACCAAAATTTGGGTCTAATGTCACGTAGCTTTTATCCCGATATAATTGGAATTACAGGATGATCCACCCAAGGAATTGAAGATCTACGAGTCTAGTTTCCAACGTATTGAACCGTTCATCAATACGAAATCAGAATAGAGAGATATTTGCGTTTTTGCGAGACTGCACAGTCAGCCCCGCCTATAGCTCGTTTTTACTCATTATTTTTCACTTTCTCCAGAATCCGGACACCTACAAACCTTCTCCCAAAGTTCTCTCATGATTCAAGACCCAAACAAAGGGCAAACAACATAAATCAAGTGTCGCAAATCCCGTGGTGCTAGTGAGTTTCTTGTGCTTCTTGTGGTTGTTGACTTTGGTGTGGTTCCAAATCGTGTGGGGGGATTGTTTTAAGTCGTTTAAGTTCTGAAAAATACTCTCCCAGGGGTTTCATATCAATCCTAAGTGATTTCAAAGTAATTCTAGTGTCGAGAGAACCCGAAGTGCCTGCTAGTTTCTCTTCCTTGTTCTTATGGTTGCGTTGGAAGGATACTTTGTGGTGAAGTAATCTCAAATTAGAGTTTTTCTATTTGCTTGAAGGTAAGGAACCTCTTAATCTACGTGTATTTAAGCTTATCCAAGTTGCAGCTAAGTCATTGAAGCTAGAACTTGTGAGATATCTATCGAAAGGCTTGTTAGGATGTTAATTTTGGACTATTTGGGAGGTGTTCTTGCAGCATTTTATGGTTGAAAATTTTATGCAATAACCTGAGTATATTGTGTTGTTATTGCCAACATTTTCCTGAATATAAATAAGAGGGAAAGTATTCGAAATATAATATTATTAGACATGAATCGAGCTTGCCGCTCGTAACAATTGTTAAATTGTTTGGTGATTGTTGTAACTTGTGGGAAGTCATATAAATAGGGAAGGTGCTGCCCGTTTTAGCATAAAATAGGTTGTGGTCGATATATAATAGTTATGATACTTAAACAATAACGATAATATCATTTCTCTTATTGTAGACTAAGGAGCCGTGATGTTTGCATAGCTTGAGGTTTGACAGTATATACAAGATATATGAGGCTATCCCTTTCTTTCTTTTTCATGACTCTGATTGTATGTAATGTAAACGAATGAGGTTCCAAGGATACTTTACTCTTAGAAGCTAGAAGTACTTATATCGTTTCCCTTCTTATGGAATGATTGTTGTTGATGTTGCTTCTCTTATTATTATGTTATATTGTTGGTATTTCCTAATTCTTATTAGATTCATGATGACGAGTTAGCTTTAACAACAAATACGGAAGTTACCGACCTTACATCACTCTGAAAGGTTCAGAATGTGATTTCACTAGTCCATCATACATTTTATATATGTACCTATTTTACTCTACCGAGTCGCTCCATAGTCGGTCGAGTACGACACATATTGTGAAACCACTGATCAGTTAAATTTTAGTGAGCTCCACGTGGTCGGGTATTATTCTACCGAGCCTTATGATGGCCAGTTATATTTTTACCGAGTCTATTATGGTTGGGTACGATATGATGATGATGACGATGCCCACAGAGGCGTGCGTTTTTAAAAGTATGTATGTATGTATGTATGTGTGTGTGTGTGTGTGTGTGTATATNCGCTATCTCTCTTTACATTACTATTATTATTCATGCTTTTATGCCTTACATACTCAGTGCTTTATTCGTACTAACGTATCTTTTATTTATGGATGTTGCATGACGTGCTGCAAGTCCTGATAGACAGGTAGATGAAGCTCCCCCCACCACAGTGGCTGCCTAATTCAGAGGTTATTGACAAGATCCCTTCTCCGGACTTGACGTGGTCTTGGTATGCATTTTTATTATAGACATTACGGGTATGTCGGGGCCCTGTCCCGACAATGTTACAGCGCGTATATTCCTTCAGAGGCTCATAGACATGTGTCGTCTCATGTATAGTTTTAGATAGCCTTGTCGACTGATTTTTTTTGTATAGTCTATCATGGAGGCCTTGTTGGCTCGTACCTTATATATAGCTTTATGACAGCCTTGTCGACCCATGTTATATATGTTTATGTCGCTATCTGTCATTTTTGGTTGTTTATAATTAATGTCTACCATTTATCCTGGCCTCGTCAGCCCTTACGGATAATAAGAAAGGTTAGATAAAATATCTGTGGGTACTGTCACACCTCCTTTTCCCGCCCCCGCGAGGGATGCAAGGAGTTTTCTCCAATTAAAGGACAGTCGAGACGGGATTTGTTTGTTTATTTCAGAGTCGCCACTTGGGAATTTTATGGCGTCCCAAGTCACCGGTTTTAATCCCGAATCGAGGAGAATATGACTCTGTTTGTCATTCTGCGAACCAGAAATCCGAGTAAGGAATTCTGTTAATTCGGGAGAAGGTGTTAGGCATTCCCGAATTCCGTGGTTCTAGCACGGTTGCTTAACCATTTTTATATTTGGCTTAATTATCTTGATTTACTAAATACATTTTTT